GTGAAGATATATGGAGATGATGTGAATGTAAGGAAAAACGACGTTCGTTCGTTAGAATGAGATAAGAGTAAAGGAGGAAGATGAGTTCTTAAATTGAACTTTGATACGGACGTTCTTCTGAATGGATAATTTCAGCAAATTAGTTGTGTTAATTATTGCAATAAAATAATTATCTTGAGAATTTAGTATAAAATATATAATTTAACTTCAATTTTGTAGGGTAATTCAGTATAATATACTTCATCAACATTAATCAAAATTAGAACGTTTCTTAAAACTAAAAGTTTCTGTTTCATTACATTACTAGTAAAGTCTAGATTTGTCATCAGTTTTAAAAAATGTATCATTGCCTCAACTAGTCGAATTCTATAGTCATTTCACGTATGTTCAATAAATGAGTTTTATAGTTCTACAAAAAAAAACAGAATAATTAAAATGTTAATCTTCAAATTAAAGTTTTTTCCTTATTTTTATCTAATGGGAAAATTACGGTTGATTAAATCAGTGAGTATTGTTTCCTGTTACAAATCCCACGAAATCAGGTATTTAGACGCACGATTGCATCCGTATTCAGTTGAGCGTTGACTGCGGTAAATCGATTTATGTAAGTCCATCAAATGCAAAGTTCCAAAACCAGTGTAGCTCCTCGTGCAATGCAGGTACTTCTATAGTAATTATCCAAAACATAAACAAGACTTAATTTGAAACTACTGAGAATATTCATACTTATTAATATGTAATTTTAATTGTCAAAAGCGTTGTATATTAATTATAGATATAGTAACTAGATTTTATTATTAATAACTGTAGTAAATAATTAATAACTGTATTTAAAATAATAACAAATACAAATGTGAATAATATTAACTTCGAACAGTCCTGATTCACTATAAACAGGTTTGAAATAAAAAAAAAATAGCAAAATAAAAAATTAGTACAAAAAAAAAATATTTTGTAACAATAAATTATCGTTTTTTTTCCTTTACTACAGCCAAGTCTCTTTTTGTTTGGTTAATTTTTGTTCCTCAATAGCCCGGTTTCAATATGTGCGGCGAAACTGATTGTTCGGACTATGCGAGGTCTTGCTGTATGTGTCATATTACTTATTCTATTCTATTATTATTTTCAATATATTCTTACCGACAAATCAGTAAATCAAATTACAGTTGACAATGTTAAGAAAGTACCCGTTGGCAAGTTCACTTAGTTACATGACAATAACACAGAAAACAGGTATTAATCAAATCATGAAGGCAGATCTAGTAGTTTGATCAAACGTTTTACGTCGTTAGGTTATTAAGCATTTTTCAACTAGATTTACAACTAAAACATTCAAATTATTTGATTCTTGTAAAATCTTTCGATTTTTTTTTATATTTTCCATGTAATATAATTTTGTTTATACCAAATTCAATTCCCAAATATTTTACTTAGTTATTTGTTGTACAGATATTTTGCATACAACAATGCCTCGCATAGTCCGGCCTCGACTGGCATTTACTATAGAGTTGTTTAAAAATTTCAAAAGAAACTAAATTTAAATTAATATAAATTAAAATTAATTCCAAAAATATTAGTACACAAAATTATTTTTTCATACATAAATGATCGTTTTATTTGTTAAGTCTCTGTGTGGTTTATATTTATGTGATTTTGATTAGTCCGGTTTTAAATAAATTGGGATATTGGTGGAACCGATTACCTGGACTATGCGAGGTATTTTTGTATTATAGTAATATAAAAAACGTATATTTTATGATTTTAAGTTTAAAGGTGAACACACTATAATTGCATGTATAATTCTGTATTTGACAAATACTACTGAGTAGTTCAGCACATAAAAATACCAAGATTTTTTGTAATTCAATAAAATACTTATTGAAATATTCTCATTTTTACATGACCCCAATTGACCTTACTATCTTTACTACAAAAACACATATATTTTTATAATTATTACCAAGTTTCTTTGTTTATAATTTAATTCAATTTTGCTAAAATAATCTAATATAATCTACTACAAAAGAATACATATATTTTTGAATTATTCTTAGTTATATAAAAAGGAAAGTTTTTGTTTTTCTGGTGTAAATTTACGTTCAGAGTTTTATAGAAACGAAGAAAAATTCTAATTTTTTCTAGTGTGAAATCACATAGTTAAATGTATATTGCAATAACTAAATCACGTTCCACTCAATTTACTGCGACCGCTCAGCAACCGGCTCGAATGCCTCATGAAATTCACATTTTTTAATTTAAATATTCCTCCACTTTATTTATCTGTTCTTTATCCACTTCTGCCATCGATCTGCTTCCTTCGCAATGCAACGAAAAACCGAACCGCATAACGATTTCCATTCACTTCAATTCCATACGTCCATTATTTCCTTTTCCATCGGCATTGTACCTTCTTGAATACAATTGTTCAGCAATGAAAACGAAAAAAATAAATGATTTTCATAGAAAACCATCATTTCAATGCAATTCTATTGTAACCATTCGATTAATATTTAACTAAGACAGTTTTTTTTTATATAACTAACTTTAAATATACATTACTTTAATTAAATAATCTATTTAAATTCCAAATCAAAATCCAAATTTAAGGTTTATTTTTTTCATTATTTTTTTTATGGTAGGAAATTAACGCTAATATTAAATTAATAGAAAAATATTAACAATTTCTTGCATACTCCAGATTCGAACAGTCCGGTTTACTATAGTTCGTTTTCATTTTTTATTGAAAAAAATAAATTCCAAAATATTAGTATAATTGTTTTTATATATAAATAATAAGTTTTAACCAAATTAGTTCCTTGCGTTTCAAACAGTCCGGTATATAGGAAAAACCGATTGTCCGAACTAAGCGAGGTATTTAAAAAAACACGTCGTCATTTTTGTGTATTGTATTTGAGTGTATTTAATCCTGAAACAACTGAGAATTCCATCAGATATAAAAAAAAACATTCACAAGAAAAATAAACTGTAGATTAATAACACGCTTTGCCGTTAATCCTACGTTTATATCTGACAAGCGGCAGCGTTGAATCTTTGTGTTATTTGTTTTTTTTTTATTTTTTTTTTTGCAGACGTTGTTTGCAATTACTTTAATTGGCGGAGCTTTGGAAAATGATGTGGCATGCTTTCATTTGCACCGAACCACTCAACACTCCGGAATGGATTGGCACGCAAACCGATCCGTCCCGCACGCTCCACACCATCCGAAGCGCCCAACAACAGTTCAACCGATAAAAGATAGCCTTCAAAGCTCCATCAATTTCGAAAACCGAATCATTACGCTAAAACTAATTGGCCCTCTAAGTCAGCACACAACCGAAATTACTATTCAAAACCGTTCAATTACTGTAAAACCTCCTTCCGAACGCTAATTCAATTTTACTTTACCATCTACCATCCAGCCTCAACGGTTCGTCGACCATTCATTCTCATGCCACTATTGAAATTTATTAGTTACGTAAATTATTGATGTTAGTGTAAATAAAACTAAACGAATAACAAGCAAAGATAGATGACTTTTTTAATTACTGGTATACAAATATTTATAGATACAATTAGATATCATTTTTTTGTTATTCATATTCAGTTTTTAACAAAGTATTATTGATTTGAAATATATTTTAACATGTAACAAAATTTGTTAGTGTTATTGCAAAATAATTGTTTTTTACAGATATTATTTTTGGATAAAAATTATCTTTCAATATTAATTTTGTGGTATTTATGTAAGTGCTAAATTTATCTGCGAAATATTACTTTTCAAGGCAGAACAAAATTGAAGGATTTAAGAACATTCATTAAATTCAAATATATAAGATTAAGATATGATTTACTTGCAGGCAATGACTCATATATTTTCAAAAAAAATAAATATTAAAAAAGTAAATATTTTGAGAAAAAATGTTAATGTTTGTAAATTTTCATAACTAACATACATAAGTAATGTACGTTTGGGTGAACATGAGGTACGTTTATACGAAGAAAACAGTATATGGATTTACTAATTAAGATACATTTGCTTAAAATACTGAATGTTTGGTATGAAATTAAAAAAAAAAGTATGTATGAACACTACAAAACAAAATAATAAGCCAGTTCTAGGGATACTCAAAGGGATACTATAGTAGAAGAGCATAAAACAATATTTATCTTTGTAAATATTGTTTAATAAAAAATCATTAATGTAATGTACGTTTGTATAAAAGTCAAGTATGTTTGTTCGAACAAAATGACCAGTATATCAATTCAGTAATAGATTAATGTATATTTTCTTTAAATATTGAAATTTTGGTATGAATTACTAAAAAAAATAGAATTTAAGAACACTACAAAACAAACGTCAAACAAAAACAAGACTTACCTCCAAGACCAGCAAAAACTATATACTTCGAAAGAAGAACACAAAATAACATTTACCTTCTAAATATCTAATTATAAATAAGTTTATTTAAATAATAATAATAAACCAGTAAGTAAGAATAAAAAATATGTACGTTAATTGAACGTTGACAGTATTCAAATGGAATTTGCAAAATTTTGATTTTAAATATAAATATAAAAATATAAGATTGTAACTCACAATAGTCGTTTAATAAAAAAGAAAAATTAATATAATGTACGTTCATGTGAACGAAGACACCAGTACTTGCAATAGCCACCTCTGGGATACCTGAACTAAATCAAAGCAGCACAAATTTATACTTAACCTTGTAATTATATTATCTAAATTTGAATATTAAAAAATTTGCAATAGTCGTTTATTAAAAAAGAATCATATAATGTACGTTTGTCTAAACCAGTAATCAATACCAACCTGACGGATACCTGAACTACACTAAAACAGCGCAATATTAAACTTAACCTTGTAAATATATGATCTAAATTTAAATATTAAAAAAATATATGTACGTTAACCGAATTCTGATTAAGTATTAAAATTACAATTGTAAGATTTTAATTATTTAAAATTGTTTTCGTTACAGGTTGTTCGTATGGCCCACGCTCTTCGTCGCATCTCTTACGCGACTTGTGATCCAGAACGATTGCTGTTCAGCTTCTTAGCGAGAGAACCAAGAGGTCATTTCAGCTTGCAATACTGTCATTCATTCGTAACGGAATCAGCGCAGCAGGCAAGTGGATGGGAAAAATTATTTCCCCATACCTTTCTCTCTTCCCTACCGTTCGAAACATTCCGAAACCATCACAGATATACTCATTTTTATTTTTTCCATCGTCTGTTGCCTCCTTTATTATTATTATTTTTTTTAATAACGTTCTCGCTACCGATTGAACAACCTCTTAACCGGTAGCCGAGGCGTTTAACCCTCCGGTGATATACCTCTCACAAATTATATACCTTAACACATATAAAGGTGAACTCGCCAGGATAATTTATCGGCAGGCCCAGCAGATGGGGTTTTAGATTTGGCGCGAGCGCAAAATTCTTTTCTACATTAGTATCGTGTGTGTGTCGATTTTTTTTGGCAGCACATTTTTATACACGCGCTTAAATAAAAACACCACTCAGATAAATTGAAACACGTAACAAGTTATTTGGTCTGTTTTGTTGCCTGCTCTCTTCCCACCCCGTTCTTTCGCCCTCGCCAAACGCACGGAAAACAAAATTGCCATTACTTTTATTAAATGGATCCTTTATGCGGCTATTAACCAAAATTCTCTCTCTTTATTTCTTGTCTTTTTATTTCATCCATACCCCACCTACAGAGCGCATCGCATTATAAATATGCCAGAGGCGAAAGCAAGAAAAATTACGCAACATTTCGTACGTAATTTCCTCCATATGTAACGCGCCATGGAATGCCACGAGATAAACGATATACTTGTTTGTGTGTACGCAACATTGCGGATATATCATTTGACCGGACTTTGCAACTTCATCATAAACAGTCACTTTCATAAATTAACTTTCTGTTTGTATCATTTATATATTTCTTTTTGCATTTATTTAAACTACACGAAGTTGAAATAAAATATTTATTGTAATATTTAGATCAGTGTTTTTCAACCTTTTTACATCAAATCACTGGTGATAATGTAAGACATATTTTGGGGACTAGTTAACGTTAAAAAATAAAATATATAGCAATAATTAATATATCTTGTCAATAATTTTATAACAATAAATTATCAAAATTACATTTTTCTCAAAAAAATTAAACTAAATCAAGTAGAAAATGTATAAAATAAAGGCAGAAAGATTATTTCTTTAGGTATCACTAAATTACTTTTATTTTAAATAATATTAATCATTTTTGTAACATAAGAAATAATATTTTCATACAATTATAATAATTAATTAAAAAACGATCAACTGTTACAAAAACACCTTAGTTTTAAATAATACTATTTATAGCAGTGTTTTCCCAACCTTTTTTGTGCTATGCGCTACCTAAACCTTTCTAAAATTCCTTTGCCCCTATGAGTCAATTTTCGAATTGCCCCCTTAACAATCAAATTGCGCCACATGTGTGCCGTGAGCCCCACGTTTGGAAATGCAGATCTATAGTAAATTTGACTCTATTTCTAGTGTCAAATAGTAATAATATTGTAAATCGTCTTTATTGACAAAAAGAAAACTGTATATTTAAATTTATTTTAAATTGTGATAAATATAATGTTTAATTATTTTTTATACGAGAATTTTACAATTGAAGTAATAATTGTAAAATTCTCGTATATTCCAAAAATGTATAAAGTTATATTTATTTAAAAGATTTTTATTTATTGATATACCGAAATTATAGGCTATATACATGAAAATTTATAGTTAGTAATGACAGATGTAATCTAATTGATAAAATAAACATCTACCCTTTAATATATATATTACACACTATCTTTAATATATTGATTACATAGTCAATCAATATATTAAAGATTCAGATAAAACATAATAAAAAAATCATGAAGTGGAGAATATAAACCCTTCAAAATAATTCATAAATGTATTATTTATTTTATTAGCATAATATATTAATTATTATTGAATTAGTCACACATAAATAAAGAGAATTAAACGTATTTTTCTAATCATTACAAAAGAAAACAGTTACGATGTTACCATAGCGATTTGCGCCCGTAAAATTAGTATTACTAACAACATTTATACATAACTATGAAAGTAAATGTAATTTATAAAATAAATGTTAATAACAGTAAAATAAAATATGTACATCGACTAACTGTGATTTAACCTAAATACTTAACGTTACTATTGCTATAAAATTTATTATGACATAAAAGAATATACATAATATTTTATTGTACTAATATTGAATATTTTTTTATTATACCGAATCTGCAAAACTTATTTTTCAAATTTACTTTATATTTATTTCGAAGACTTTCAAATGATTATATATATTATAATTGATTTAATAGCCTTTTGCAATATTAGATTTTTTTATTATATTTTTTAAATATGTACACTAAACCCTTGAATAACATGGTTAATTTGTTCTAGGTTATTATAAACCGTGTTATATTGTGTTATTCGACACTCCGTGTAATTCAAGTACTGCGTTATTTGAGGGTATCAATGCTGTCATTTATTCGTTAGCAAAACATCGTAGTAAATAAGAATTGTGAAGAAATATACGTTAAGAAAACCGTGTGTCGTGTCGTTCATTTGTCATAGAATGACCGCAGTAATTAATGTTAATATTAATTATGAAAAAGTATACTTTATACATTTTTCAAGTACTATGAGCATGGGATAATGAAGTTAACAGAAAGATGGTGAAACGTCATTGATAAAAAAAGAAAATATATTATTGAATAAAGTTAAAAATTATAAAAAAAAAACAACATGTTTGTTTTTTGTCCGTGTTATTCGAGACTCCGTGTTATTGTCATGACAATATGTAAATTATGATAATCTTGTTAAGATTTCCATTAAAACGACTTAACAACCAATATATTTAAAACTATTTTATAAACAAAAATGAATATGATCAATTTTGAAAATATAATTTTGTGCAAAATTATAATATAAACCTTATTAAATATATTATATTATAAACTTTGACCATCTTGATCTAGATACAAGATTTAACTGTAGAACCTTTAATTAAATTGCTCTGATTTTATTTTGGGGAGACCCCTCGAAAGTTCCGAAAGTGATTTGCGCCTAGGACTTCGCATTAGTAGGTTTTCGGCCCCAAAAATAGAGCCCGAAAGACCCTCCAGGCGTATAAATTTAATACTTTGCGTATCTCTCTCTGCCTCCCCCGAAAACGAAGTAGAAATTACATTAATTTGTCTGGAACAATCGTCCGGCGTAGCGATGCCTATCGAGAGATTAGGAGACTGCCCATAAAACTTTAATAAACGTCGGTCTACAGTAGTAAATCTTTCTCTGCCCTCCTCCCCAAAATCTAAAAACCAAACAATACACGCAATCCTCCATCTGCATGTTTTTATTCCTTCTTGATCTTCCACCCACCCCTAAACCGTTTAAATCGCATTATGCAAGGCCATATTTCAAAGATCCCGCCAAGAATTTTTATTATCTCTGCGAATGCGTGTGTACGTGTGTGGGAATGTCGGGCAGAGAATGCAAGGCACGCGAACGGATTCCCATACGCCTGGAAATAAATAGATCGCTCGGAAATTGTATCCGATTATCCTCACACGCCGATGCCCTCTCCCGCCTTCCCACATATTCTGTTTTCATCTCTTGCTGTTTCACTCCTTGTTTTTCCCTCATCCCGAAAGCCTACGCGTCCGTGTATATACACATACATGTGTGTCTGCGTCTGGCGGATGCTGCGATGATGATGTGTTCTCGATTGATTTGCGTCAATCAAAAGCTGGAAATTGAATCCGTCAGGTTCATATTTCAATATTCATCTCCTCTTTTTCCTGCAACATGCGACCGAGCGACTCTGTTATACATCTATTTCCGAGACTGCAGCTCCATCTCCTTGTTACCATTGTTTTGCTTCAATACTTTCAAAACGTCGCTTCCATTCACACCTACAGACATTTTCATTAAACTCCTTTTCAATTATTTTTTCCAATTAAAAACCAAATCACAACTGATTCTTGTGAGGTGATTTTTTTTTTGCACTAGTTCTCTGTGCGAAGGAAGCTACAAGGCTAATATTAGCCCACACTTTGGCATCTCGTTGACCTAAAAGTTGAAGAGCATACTTATCCTTGAATTTCCTAAGTGGCATTACGTATGCACGCAACGTTTCACTTTATTCATTGCAGATGCTGTACAACTAAATACAGTATAATTAATTAAATAATTATACATAACCAAATATGTAAATAATTTGCAAAAACGAAACATATAATGCTTTTTTTCTAATAAATTTGTGTCAATAATTTAAAAAAAAATCAAACACATTAAATTTTCATTATTTCAAACTATTGAGATCGTTTAAATTCATTGTCATTAAATATGTTTACTAGGAACGAACTTGTAAATGATTTGTAAAAAAAATAAAGCTATTGAATGTTTATAAATTGAAGGAATTTTTCTTTAATTTATTACATTTATATAAATTAATTTGAAAACTATTTCTAAAAAAAATCAAATATATTCGATGATCATAGAAACTATAAGCATATTTTTAAATTTACCTAATACATTCAAATATGAAGTTAATAAGTTGAAACTAACTGAAGAATTGTGCTGAAAAAGTAATATTTATTTATATCTAATAATATTGACATATTTCCAAATAATGAGGCCAAACAACTGAATCAGACAACTTTGTTAATTGAATCAACATTGGATGGTTTGGATTTAACATAAATATATTATAATGCGCTATCAAATTCATCCCTTTCCTGGACATTTTCTAGAAAATTATAATAATACACCATTAGGCATGCTCAAAAGGTAAGACAATGCGTATCCAATCGCTCCTCAAAGAGTTAAACACAATTTGTGTTTCACAAATTTTCTCATTATTATTTTAACAATAATTTAGGTCCAAATTATTGTCGAATTTGATAAAATTCGTATATAAAACGCAAAATTTATAAACAAAACTTAAATAACGAAAATGTCAAATATCAATAATTAATTTGACATATTTTTAAATGTACTTTAATAAAGTTAACAATATTTGTTCCAACAGTTTCTTAATTACTTACATAATTATTGACAAATAAAAACATACATACATTTTTGCAATTTTCTATTATAATATGTTTTTTCTTAAATACTTTTTTGGATTATCTGTGATAAGAATTTTTATACATTTTATGTATTCTGAGCATAACATAATGCGTCTCATTTTACGATGGTCCATTGCTGTGAGTTTTCTCATTAGCTTTTTGAAATTACAGGAGGTGGAAAAACATGAAAAAAGTAAATAGCTACACAATAACAGTTTATGATACTCTTCATTTTACTACCCAATTTTGTTGGAACCTAACACTGCCGTAAAAAGATACCTACCTCTATGGTAATGTAACTGACCATCAAAGGACGATATATTACATCATTACTATTGTATTTACATATATTTATTAAATCATATAATACATGTGATGTCATAACGCAGAATCAAATAACCTTAACCTAATATAACCTAACCTAAAAATAATACTTAGTTAATTATGTTTAGTAATACTTTTAGTTGTTAAGGTAACTTTGTTCAAATAAATCATCATTGTCAATACTTCTATTAGCATTTATAAAATTTAGTAACCAAAGTAACCTAACAGCACACTAGTAATCAGAATAACTTAACCATACAAAAACTACTAACTTATTCTTAACTAACAACTTGGTAAGTTTCGAATTATTTCCAGTTGCTAGATGCTTAAGTAACAAAATTAAGCTATCATCTAAACAGTCTTGAATCTAGGATGAATATTTGAAGGACGAAGGATACAGAATTTAAAAAGGGAAGAACTATTGGAAACTTTGCGAGTTAATTTAAGGCAAAGCAATATGAATATGTCTAGGAAAGGAACAATTTTAGTTTTAGAGTTATGGAGATGATTTGCAGGGTAATTTAGTCTGATTTAATAGAAACTTAAATAATTATTTTGTTATTTAAGTATAGCTTGAAATGTATTATATAAATTCTTTATGAGTGAATTTGTAATACTTACTTTTATCTTACGATTAGTGAAGACTAGGATTTAAACAAAAACCTGTATCAACTAATATCAAAGAATATCAAAATTTTTACAAAACCGGTTAAAACCTACATTAAAAAAAATACACAATAAAAAATAAAGAAAAAGTATTTTTACAACTTATTTTCTACTGCTAACATCGATTGATTTTTCAAAGCAAAGCTACGATTTCTTTTTAAATAATTTGGATACAATCTTGATAATATTTGTCCGAAAAACTTAATGATCTTACTTGTTAAGCTAGTGAAAAAAATAAGCTAGTTGTGTTTGTCTAAACATTCTGTGGATTTTAAAAATTAACTAATTACATTACTAAACTAAAACCTTAGAACTAATTCCAGTTTTCATTCTTTTCTTCAATTCATGTAACAAACACGATTTTGTGTTAATATTTTTATGTTTTTAAGTAAATAATTAAAATAATTCATAAATTTTTATATTTTAAGTCTAGTCTCAAAAACCGGGTTTTTAGTTGGAAAATAATGGATTTCGAATTAAATAAATTTTATCAAAAAAACGGGTTTTAAAAACCGACAAACCCTAATCAAGACAATTATAACTAATCCTTTATAAATCGAATCCAAAGTAACAATAAATGAATTTTCTTGGAACTGCATGTTTTTGTATAATTGTAATTTCTAATTATGAAATAATTAAGCAATTTTCAAAAGATAAAAGTAATAATAAAATACATACATGAATAACATAGAAGTTCAGATGTAAATGAATTCTGCAAATTCAAATTTGAGTAAAATGGAATGGTATTAAAATTTCAGTTATGAATCAGGGAATCTGTGAGTGGGATGGGAAAGGTGCACGATGTATGGCTGAAGCAGAGGTTTGAAGTGGCTCCTAGTATATTATTTTATGCAAATATGTAACATGGTTTTCCGGCGGATGGCTCTATGTATTTCGCATTAATGAAATTAACAACGAAATGCAATTAACTGTTCCGTCATATTAACAATTCAATAATATAAAATATATGCAAGGGCGTCCTCCTCCTCTTCCTCCCCCCTTTTTCCGAATTAATTAAAATCGGAAAACATGGAAATCGCGTGCACCACTCGCAACCATCCATCATGGAAAAACAGGCTGAGAGCATGTGTTATTTTCGGTATAAATTAGATGGATCTGAATGAAATGCATCACTGGTAATCGAAATGGCATCACTGAAAGTCAGTGTTGCATTGCTCTTCTGCATGCAAATTTTCGCTGCTGCGGTGAGTATTTAGAGCACAAAATTCAGAATCTTACTGTACCCTAAATTCAGATTGCGGCTGGTGCATCCGTTGTAACACTTACAGATTACAAAACTTGCAAGACCGATGTTAAAAGCTACATGTCCATGGACTTCAAACCTGGCGACAAGACGTTCAACGTCGACATAGACACACCCGCTGAAGTCAATAAGATGTTCAACGTATTATAACTAAGCATAAACACGTTAAACCTTTCCATCTTCAAATTGGGAATATTTTCAGTTCAATATAGTTATTGATAAATGGACTGGTACTTCTTGGAAGAAGAACATCTTCTCAAACACCGGTCAACTTTGCGAGTACATAGAGAAGTCCTCTGATAAGTTTATTGATAAACTCACGCAGCTCAGTAAACCGAAGATCGAAAGGAAATGCCCGTGGAAGAAGGTTTTAACAATAGTAATAATTAAAACTTTTGTTTTCTATCAAAATTTTTAGGGAAGTTACAAAATAGTCAAATTTCCTACAGTTTTCAATTCGAAGGAATACAACTTTCCTACTATAATCATGGGGAAATTTCGCGTGAACGTTAAAGTTCTCAAAGGGAAGAGCGTTGTTGCTTGCATGGTTTTGGAAGCAGATGCCGCAATGAAATAGAGTTCGCATTGTTTTATGTAGTTCTGTATAAAAAAAGTGCTTTTAGCAGTAATAAAATGCTTCTAATTGTAACTACTTATAAAAAGTTCTCTGAAAACACACATCATCATCAACGGGATTTTATTATTTTGAGTATCTACACGATTGTAGAAAGTTTTATAATGCACTATAAAAAATCTATTCCATATATATATGTGTGTATTTCTTTTATTTCATAATAAAAACCTTCAAGTTTTGGTAAAAAACTATAAAATTTAAGTTATTTTACTGTTAAGCAAGGTTAACATTGTACGTAAATATTTATTTAAATAAAAATTCAGGTCTTAATTGGGTAAGAAACTGATTTGATCAGATCATACAGATCAGTAATAAAAGTATATGGTATATAAAAGTATTATATAATTTGATATTTCCAAGTTTTACAGAAAGTTTTTTTCTTAAACCATAAAATTCAACTAACTTAAACAATAAAATGTTTATGCATCAAGCATTAGTAATATTCAACATCAATCTTAATTTAAAAAAAACTTGGTTTTCAGACGATTCGGTTCACGAACAAAAACAGATTATATATAGATTTGCTTAAACTATAAAATTAAACTAAATTCAACTGATTTTATAGTTGATGCATTAATTTTTAAACCCCTCGATTCACAAAAAAAAAACATGTTTTTCATGAATCCATTTCAGTTTTCTTGCTGAGAAACCGGCAATAACATATGTGATATGGCTAGTATGATACCGAATCATCATTAGAACAAACTTAGTTTTAGAATATCCCTGTTCGACAACGGAACTAATTATAAAGAATTTTACATTTTTTTTTCCAAATATTAGGAATTATAATATAAGCCTTTTTTAGTTCAAATATCTTGAATATATATTTTTTGTTGATACTATTCTATAATAACTTGATTAATTTCAAGAATTTCTTACTTAGTTTAGTAATGATAATGTTGAACTAAAAAGAACAAAAAAACAGAATTTAACTGGGAAGTTTTAAACTAAAAAGTACCTATATTTTATTTCCAAATTCTTCGCTTGTATGTATTTAGCAAAAAAAAACTATACTTAAAGTAATGAATGGTTTGTAAATAATGAATGGAGATCTTGGATTTTTTTCTAATTAATTTACGAGTATATGAAGATAGGTGGATCAGAAAATCAGCTGGAATTATATAGAATAATAGGCAACAAGTTCAGGCAGTGCAATTCGATTACTCGCATTACGAACAGACTCTTTCTTGCCTTTCTCCCCTTTTCGAAACGAAGAATCGAATAGAAGGCACACGCAAATGGCATGCAATCAATTCTATTCCAGATCCAACGTCGCGAAATTGAAATGAAAACTCGACGTAATAAATTTGTGTTTGAATCGAGTCGCGCCTTGTAATTGAAACAAACCGATTCACGCCCAATTAATCATCGAGCGAACCAGAAAAAAAATGCAACCCCGAAGTGGTGGATTTCTGCCCCTCGCTTCAGCAATTAAACTATTTTTCAAGTTGCCCCGCCCGACAATTTATAAAAATTACCACCATAGTCTAATTACTGTTTCGAGCGAACTGCTAAACAATATTTATGCACTCACCTTGCAATGTTCAATGAAAATTAATAACGAATCTTAATCACAATCATTAAGTTTTGTTGAAGAAAAACTTAAAAAATACTGTAAAGTGGAAACAAAGTATGCAATTAAAATCGGAAGCAGAGACGAAATAAAGCGGAGGAAGAGGGTCTCCGGATATCCGTGGACGGATGATGATAAATATCCTAATAACCGCAAGATGGAAAGCCTCGAAACTTGAGGGACCATTGTTGGCTACGTTTTCAACTCACTCTCTATGCTTTCTCTCTTACTCTTTCTGTATCAAAGAGGATACAACTCTTTCGAGGGCTTTCAAAAAAATCGCTCAATAAGGGAAGGAAGAATGCTCGAGAGAAGATAAATAAATAAATGGAGGGATGGAAATGATGAAATATATATTTTTTTATAGGGATGCGAAATAGGGAAAGCTGATCCTTGAAATGCGAATGCACTTTAATTGGATAATTTTAATTAGCTGCAAAGTTTAATATTCACCAGTGCAAGAAACGAAGAAAACAGTAAAAAATGTATAGTCTAGTATAGCAGATGAGATGGGTACAAAAGATAAAGAAAGAAATACGCGGACTTTATGTAATTACTTTAATTCATTGCTTTTTTTGAATTACAGCTCTTTATTTTTTTAATGTACTGAAATATACCTATAAAATGCAGCAATAAGTCGCATAGTCCGTATCCGATCAGTCCGGATTCACTATAGACTATTGTCATTGACAAGCATTCAAATACTCGCTTAGTAGGGTTAATAGGAAAATACAAGTAAAAATCTATTCATTACGTTGAAAAAGGAGTATTAAAACTTATTGAATTATTACATAATCTAAAAATTCAATCCAGATAAATAGTAGTTATATCACGCATAGTGCGGATTCAGCAAACACTATATAGAATCCGGATTATGTGCGATACTACTCTACTATTTTTCTCTTATAAGAAACAAACTGGATGAAATCAAACAAATCCTAAATACATTTTATGTAATAATTATTTATTTAGATATTCCTTCTATATAAATGCATAAAGTTTATGCTCAAACTACATAATTGAACTAACTTCAAGTAATTTTTAACGCCTAGGTTCACGAACATAAAACAAAATTGAAAGAGAAAAACAGTTGGGAAAAATAGATTGAATGAGATTAAACAAATCAATAAATATATTCTAATATTTCCTACATAGTCCGGTTTCAGTTTTTCCTTTTATACTGTTTATATGCATAACTATTTTGTCCGGGATATTTGGCTGATCTGATTACCCGACCTATACGAAGTATTTCTGAATATCCTTCATGCAACATGAATATAAAATCCTTCACTTTAAATTTATCTTTTGCTTGTCCTCATTTTGTTGTGAGTTTAAAAAAACAACAACATTTTTTATAGAAATACTTGTTTTATTTGATTTTTATGATGTATTTTGGACTATTTCTATTTTATATTTAAGTTATTTCTCTTATTAATGGAAGACTTTCTACGAAATTTTATTTTAAATTTTGCAATCGACCAAAAACTATGAAAAAGCAGCATTTTAAATATTTATTTGATGAGTGATTTCATAATTTAACTACGATTTATTTATTTATAAGTTATGAAACGTTTATATTTTGTATTACTAGAAATGTTAGAAAAAAATAACATCAAATGGATGTAATATTTACTGTTTTACCTAAATATGTACACACATATCAAAGTAAAATAGGTATTGGTAATAACTATACGTTGGAATACAGTAAATTATATTGTTATGGCGTTTGCAATTTACCCTGAAGCATATCGAACGTATCCAATCAATTGTTGATTTATAACACAAAGGGCAAAGTCAGCGCTGCATCCCTCAAACCCATGTTGACTTCAATCATAGCTCTAACCCTCAGCACTTCCCCAAATTAACACCAGATATTCGTAGCACCTAAAAAAAGACCAATTCTGAGAATCAGTTTAAAACGTGTTAAGCATTTCTTTTTTTTACATATCAATTAGAACATCCTGCATATTTAAAACATATGTGTGTGTATATTTTTTTTCTGTACGTCAGTCCTGTAGGAGATGGATAATCCAATGGAATGGATGGTCCAGAATGTGGAAATTAATTTCGAACGCGCCGTGCTCTAATAATAATGATACGGAGAAGGAGGGCATAATTAAATGTGGTATAGGGTTTACCAGAAATTACGGTGCATTTGAGGGGCATCGGGGGATCCGTTGCGGTCAGCAGCTGCCTCTCAGATTCCACGGACTGTGTAATTTGAGAGCCAACCTAAAACACATCATTTGTGTTTTCCCCGTCAAACCCCATCTCGGATGGTGAGGAGGAGGAAGGATGAGCTCCGACCGCACCAATGAGTAAAAGGGGAGAAAAGGATGAAAAAAAAAGACATGGTATATTGTCACGAAACCGCTCATTTTCTGATAATTAACATGGAAAGACCTAGTTTTGATGACCTTTTTTTACTCACCACGTGGTTTACAGATTACTATTTTTATTTTTCGATCACGAAACAAGAATTCATTACAATTACCATTTTTTTTATTCATCCTTGCATGCGTCCCTTTTTTTACGTAAATCGCAAAGGTAACAAATTATATATTTATATTTTCATCTTTTTGAAATAGAAAGTTATAAAACATAATTCTTACTTTTGGGATCACGAAACATAAATTTTCATCGTTCGTCCCTTTTTTAAATACGAAATGTAAATGATAGGTATACTTATTTTCACCTTTTAAAAAGCATTATTTCTGTAAAAAAAAACATAAAAAAATATAAAGCAAAATTCTTATTTTTGGATCACGAAACAAGAATTAATTAGAATTACCTAATTCTTCAGCTTTTGTCCCTTTCTTAAATACGAAACAAAATGAAAGGTATACCTATTTTCACCTTTTAAAAAGCATTATTTCTGTAAAAAAAAACATACAAAATGTAACTCACAATTCTTATTTTTGGATCACGGATTACCTAATTCTTCATAGTTCGTCCCTTTGTTAAATACGAAAGGTAAATGATAGGTATACTTATTTTCACCACTTAAATTATTTCTGAAAAAAAAAGCATAAAAAATCTGTAAAGCACAATACTTATTTTTGGATCACGAAATAATAATTATTTAGAATTACCATATTCTTCATCATTTGTCCCTTTCTAAATAGATTTAAATTTAATTCTGTTTTTTATTTGTCAGTATAAAAATGTACATGAAATTTAAAAATGGGTTTGGAAAGGTAAATGATAGGTATACACTTGGTTCTCTTTTTATGCGGTAGATACATTCCAGAGGAAAACGCATATAAATAAATCGCACAAAAAAGGACTAGACACACGTATAAAAATAAAGTATACGTTCCATAATTTTTTAAAACCGCATAAAACTAAATCAATGAGTTACAATATACCGAAAATCGCATAAATTTCAGATAAATAATTAGTCTTACTATATTCTTTCTGAAATGTTTATTCATAATTTTATAAAAATATTTATATTTATAAAATATTTTTTTTGTACAATTCCTGATATCCAGCAATGCAATTCTGAAGCTCGCGTTGAAACTTGAATGC